GGGGTGAGAAGTGGCATGGGAGAGGGAGGAGGTGTGGAAGAGGATATGATGGATGTCTATAAATAAGTCATGGAGGTAAACGCTAAGGTAGCACAGGCACTATAAGGTAAAGAACAATGTTGGCACAAGAACTGATGATGATTCCATTTGAAATGGAAACTAGAAGACTTCTAACGATTAAGAGGATTGAAGTTCTGGAACAGTCTTCGAAGTGGAGTAGCATGGGAAAAAAATATAACCAGTTTTAAGATGGCTTGATCTATTTGCAAAAGGAATTGTCTGGTACAGTGTGTTATGGTCTCCCTCCAAACACGCACATGCGCTTTTTGTAGTCATTGACCGTCTTTAAAACAGCAACAGCCTCCTAGGAGCAACCTGGCAGTAGAGCCCTGACATGTTACACTTAGCAGGCAACGAGTCCTCTCTCTCTTCCTTTTTTCTTTTTTTAAACTTTGTTAATGACCATTTTTAATTGTCACTCAGGTTCCTGATGTTATCAGCAGTATAAGGCAAGCCTCCAAAGCAGCCCTGAAGGAGGATGCCAAGTCCAGTAAAGATAGTGAAGAAGCCTTTTACAACTCCCAAAAATTTGAGGTTTTGTATTGTGGAAAGGTGACAGTGGCTCACAAGAAAGCCCCCTCCACCCTAATTGATGACTGCATTGAGAAATTCAGTCTTCATGAGCGCCAGCGCCTGAAGCTGTTGAGTGAGCAGCGGAGTACAGATTCCAGTTTGGAGTTAACCTTGGGTGAAGGAGACTTGCCCACTTCTCCAACAGATAGTCCATTTGAGGAGCTAGATGGCACCAATGCCTCCCCTGGGATGTTTACAATTGGTAGCCAGACCAATCTGGCCAGCCTGGCGGGCACTCGAGGCTCCTTTCCTGAGCGAATTTTGGAAGATTCAGGCTTTGATGAACAGCAGGAGTTCCGCTCCCGGTGTAGCAGTGTCACTGCAATTATGCAAAAGCGGGTTCATGATACCAACCTGAAAATACAGCCTCGAAGGAGACATGCAAGCGCACCCAGTCATGTTCAGCCCTCAGATTCTGAGAAGAACAGAACAATGTTGTTTCAGGTATGTCCCTGCAATTAGTGGAGTTGACTTGCACCGTTTACTTTATATGCGTTTTGAACTTTTTTTTTTTGTGGACGACTTCTACAAGCCATCTAACACTGATACTATGTTTTGTATTACAGAGTATGAAACCACACTGGGAAGGTCTCTAAAACGAGCGTAGATATAAATGATTGAGCATCTAAAGGGATTTAAGTTTGTGGGTTCTAATAAATTGGAAGAAAAAATAATCATGTCTGGTTTTTTTTCGTTTGATATTTGCTTAATTATTTAAAAGAATGTTTATTTTTTTTGTCTTGGCTTATGACCTACTCTTATCTCTAGAGCCAGGGTTTATATACAAATTATATAAAATAACAAAAGAATAAAAATTACATATCTGTATGTATGGATAAATATATAATCAATATAATGTGTGTATATAGATTTTAATATCTAAAGCTATATGCATATATATTTACATACAAGTTATGTAAAAATAAAATATGAAATAATAAAATATAGTTAGTGTGCGTGTGTATAACACATGGATACAGATATGATAGAGCGCTCCTGGGTATAAATAAATGTCTAGCTTCACAAGATTAATATCTTGATTTATTTTTTATCCCTTTTTTGCAATGGGAGTGGGACACTCTTGTTGAAGTACTTCTAAAACTGTGAGGAATAATAAAACACAGTTTAAACCAATTTTTTACAGTAAATTTCACTCAATTAAGTCACTTCCCTTTCCCAGAATAGGAGTAGTTTGTCTTGCAACATTTTTTTCTTACATTATTGTAGCGCAGATGACTTCATCTTCAAATCCTGCAACTCTTCCTTTTTTTCCTAAAAGTGCATTCGATTTGGCAGTACGTGGGCTGAATGATCAAGGGAAAATCATTAAAAGCTGCTGCCCCATACAAGGAAAGATCTTTGCTGTCTAAACTAATAGGCAGCTAACTGCTTTGGGATTTTTCTTCCCACCTAGTTCAGAGGAGAAGTGACATTTTCACCATCTTGGGGGATTGCCAACTTATGTGAGTAAGTCGATGGCCCATTAGAAATCCATAGACAATCACTTGTGATAAAAAGGGCTTAGCTGAAAAACTCCACTGAATATTATTATGTGCACTTGGAGCAGCTGTTTGGGAAATCAGACAGGAGATTCACTGTAGTGAATCTGCTTCTCATTCATATAACTAAAAATAAAGGCTAAATGAAGCACTTGGAAAAGAACCCCCCTCCCGCCCCACAAATCTCTTGCTTCCTCCAAACAAACAACCATCCCTGAAAAAAGCTAATGTCTTCTAAAATATCTGGCTGTTTTTGCTTCTTTACCTTTTTGGGAGGGGGGGAAGCTTAAAGCTAGATGATTTCAGGTCAGTCTAATAGAGCATTAAAGTTTTTCATTAACCATGAATAGAATAATCTTATTAAAAATCTGAACTGCCTATTTTGCTTTTCTTGTTCTGAAGACTACTGTATGCCACGCATCTTCCTGTTGAGCAGTATGTTACTCAGCGAGCAAACAAAGCTGCTTTGTGGGCAGTGGTGGTAACATGTAGGCCTAACCTCATATGAGTGTACAATTCACTTGCATTTTCTGAGACCAGTGTGACTTTCTTTTTTCCCCACTTGTTTTCAAGGTTGGACGATTTGAAATTAACCTAATCAGCCCAGATACCAAATCTGTTGTCCTTGAAAAGAATTTTAAAGATATCTCCTCATGTTCTCAGGTATGTATTTATGACTTAGCTGTTAGTGCTTGGAACCATCTTGTTTGATTTAGAGATGGCATGGTGCCATTGTAATCTGTAGGCAGAAAAATGCAGCCAAAGGTTTTGATAAAGAGAGAAGGTAAACAACACCATGCAGATACCCTTAAAGGTAGTGATTATACCTTCTCAGGTGCTTTTTAAGTAGTTACCCCTTTATTTTTTTTCTTGGTATCTATAAAATTAGATTTTTCTTTACTCTTTATGGCTAATATAGCCAGTTTAAAAATGTAAGAAGATAATTAATCTGTTCTCTTTGTACTATATATTTCCCCCAGAAGGCTTACTTGCAATCTCCAGCCTTGTCCAGTCTCTTTTGAGTACACTCGACATACTCTGCCTAGGTATTAGTGGAGTGATCCATAGCTCCTTTCAACTCTGAAATGCCATCTGTTGGGTCCCTGACTCTCCAGGGTTACCTGTGACCTTGGCTGAAGGAGCTAATACCCAGTTTGGCTCTGAGGGACTTGAATTCTCTTTTAAAGGGAGAGGTGGGATGTACATGAAGTCCCAAACAGGAAAACACACGGCTCCTCTTCAAAGGCATTTATTGGGGCAAAGCCCACACAGCAAAAAGTTCTTGCCCATTCCCAAGAGTTTAGTCCCTGGTCTAGCAGGTTGAAGCACCCCAAAATTGGTTCATCTCTTTCCCTTTGCACGATCTGTAGCTCTCAAGCTGATGCCCTCCATTTAAGTCTGCTCCATCACTGTATGAAGATTATTTTCTTCTGTTTCTCTTGGCATATCCTCAGTGTTCCCTCCAAAGTATTTCCACTTTGGTATCAATAAGGCTATTTAGTTTTTGGTTGATTTGGAATCAAGAGGTGGTGTATCAGTGACGGCTTTCAGGAGCAAAGGGTAGTGTAGCCACTGGCCTGTCTGGGGCATGGGTAGAGATCCCCCAATGTGGGATTCACTTTATAGTAAAGGCAAGGGCAGCACCATGACTTCTGGAAACTGTATGAGCAGCAGCAATGGATTTGACACAATGGGTGTCTCTAACTACCCACATATGCTGGATGAATGAAATATTATAACCTGAAATGTAGGAGAAAAGGAAGCTCTTCTGCAGCTCTCCTTCCACCTGTAGTAGGTTTAGGCAGCTGCCAGTCATCTTTTTTGCTTAAGTATATTGAAACCTGATCCCTGAACCAACCTTTCTCTTCATCCCTTTCTTGCCACACTTTCTCCTCCTACAGCCATGTTCATGTATATCATTGCACGAGCGTATACCTAATGCTTTCAAGCTTATTTAAAAGTCGCTAGGAGCACTTACTGGTGGTCTTTATGCCACTATCTCATTTTACAAAAGCATTCTTATTTTAACACTGGGGCTAGGGACAGACATTACACGTAAACCAGTTTAAGTGATCAGAAACTAGTTTAAACTTGTAACGGAGCGGATGTTCAATGCACATAAACCAGTTTGAAAATGGCTGGCTGAAACTGGCTTGAGATAAACCAGATTTCCTGCT